GGGGGAAAAAATTGAGGAGAGGGGAAAAAATCGACGAGAAGGGAGGAAAATCGACGAGAAGGGGGGAAAAATTGAAGAGAAATGGGAAAAATATTCACGAGAAGGGGGAAAAATTGGCGAGAAGGGGGAAAAATTGAGGAGAAAGGGGAAAAAATTAATGAGAAGGGGGAAAAAATCGATAAGAAGAATGAAAAAATTGACGAGGAGGAGGAAAAAATTGAGGAGAAGGGGTAAAAAATTGTCGAGAAGGAAGAAAAAATTGACAAGAAGGGGGAAAAACTTGAGAAATGAGAAAAAATTGACAAGAAGGGGGGAAATTGAGGAGAAAGGGGAAAAATTGATGAGAAAGGGGAAAAATTGATGAGAAAGGGGAAAAAATCGATAAGAAGTATGAAAAAATTGACAAGAAGGAGGAAAAAATTGAGGAGAAGGGGTAAAAAATTGAGGAGAATGTGGGAAAAAGTGAGGAGAAGGGAGAAACGTCAACGAGAAAGGGGAAAAATTGAGGAGCAAGGGGAAAAAATCGACGAGAAGAAGGAAAAAATGGACAAGAAGGAGGAAAAAATTGAGGAGAAAGGGTAAAAAATTGATGAGGAAGAAGAAAAAAATTCAGGAGAAGGGAAAAATTGACGAGAAGGGGAAAAATTCAGTGAAAAAGGGAAAAAATGATGAGAAAGGGCAAAAAATTTACAAGAAAGGGAAAAAAATTGAGGAGAAGGGGAAAAATTGATGAGAAGGGGAAATAATTGAGGAGAAAGGGGAAAAATCGAATAGAAGAGGGAAAAAATTACGAGGGGGAAAAATTGACGAGAAAAGGGAAAAAATTGGTGAGAAAGGGGTAAAAAATTGATGAGAAAGGGTAAAAAATTGAGGAAAAGGTGGAAAAATTGGCTGAGAAGGGGTAAAAAATTGATGAGAAGGGGGAAAAATTGAGGAGAAGGGGGAAAATTTAGGAGAAAGGGGAAAAAATTGAGGAGAAAGGGTAAAAAATTGAGGAGAAGGGGAAAAAATCAATGAGAAAGGGTAAAAAATTGAGAAGAAGGGGGAAAATTGATAAGAAAGGGGAAAAAATTGAGGAGAAGGGGGAAAAATGGACAAGAAGGGGAAAAATCAAATAGAAGAGGGAAAAAATGAGGAGAAGGGGGAAAAATTGAAAATTGATGAGAAAGGGGAAAAATTGATGTAAAGGGGTAAAAAATTGGTGAGAGGGTAAAAAATTGAGGAAAAGGTGTAAAAAATTGACGAGAAGGGGTAAAAAATTGTGGAAAAGGTGGAAAAAATTGATGAGAAGGGGTAAAAAATTGAGGAGAAGGGGGAAAAATTGAGGAGAAGGGGGAAAAATTGAGGAGAAAGGGGGGAACAATTGATGACAAAAGGGGAAAAATCGACGATAAAAGGTAAAAATTTGAGGAGAAAGGGGAAGAAATTGACAAGAAAGGGTAAAAAATTGAGGAGAAAGGGGAAAAAATTGGCCAGACGGTTGAAAAAATTGGCGAGAAAGGGGTAAAAAATTGAGAAGGAGGAAAAAATCGATAAGAAAGGGGAAAAAATTGAGAAGAAAGGGGAAAAAATGGCACTAATTCGGAAAATTGTGATTTGGTGCGGGAGGGGGCGGGGAGGGGCAGAGGGCGCAGCATTTGGGGGAAAAATATCCCAATTTCAGGGGAAAAATATGCCAAATTTGAGGGAAAAATATTCCAATTTGGGGGGAAAAATATCCCAATTTTGGGGGCAAAAAATCCCAAATCTGGGGGCAAATTGTCAAAATTTTGAGGGCAAAATATCCCAATTCTGGGGGCAAATTATCCCAATTTTAGGGAAAATATCCCAATTTTGGGGGAAAAATATCCCAATTTTGGAGGCAAAATATCCCAAATCTGGGGGCAAACTGTCAAAATTTTGAGGGCAAAATATCCCAATTCTGGGGGAAAATTATCCCAATTTTAGGGAAAATATCCCAATTTTGGGACAAAATCTCCCCAATTCTGGGGCAAAATATCCAATTTTGGGGACAAAATATTCCAATTTGGGGGGCAAAATATCCCAATTTTGACAGCAAATTATCCCAGTTTTGGAGGCAAATTATCCCAGTTTTGAGGCAGAATATTCCCAATTTTGAGGGCAAAATACCCCAATTTTGGGGTAAAAATATCTCCGTTCTGGGGGCAAAATATCCCAATTTGGGGGGGCAAAATATCCCAAATTTTGGGGGCAAATTATCCAGATTTTGAGGGGCAAAATATCCCCAGTTTTGGAGGCAAAGTATCCCAATTTTGGGGTCAAAATATCTTAAATTTGGGGGCATAATATCCCAATTTTGGGGTAAATTGTCCCCAACTTTCGGGGCAAAATATCCCAAAATTTGGGAGCAAAATATCCCAAATTTTCAGGGCAAATTATCCCCACTTCTGGGGGCAAATTATCACAATTTTGGAGTCAAAATATCTCCAATTTTGAGGACCAAATATCCCAAATCCAGGAGCAAAATATCCCAAATTTTGGGGGCAAATTATCCAAATTTTGAGGGCAAAATATCCCAATTTTGACAGCAAAATATCCCAATTTTGGGGCAAAACAACCCAAATTTTGTGGCAAACTATCCTAATTTTGGGGGTGAATTATCCAAATTTGGGGGGCAAAATATACCAATTTTGGGGCAAAATATCCCAGGTTTTGGGGGAAAATATCCCAATTTTGGGGGAAAAATATCCACATTTGGGGGGGAAAATATCCAAACATGGGGTAAAATATCCAAATTTTGGGGGGCAAATTATGCAAATTTTGGGAGCAAAATATCCCACTTTTGGCAGCAAAATAACCCAAATTTTGTGGCAAAATATCCCAATTTTGGGGCTGCAATATCACAATTTTGGGGGCAAATTATCCAAATTTTGGGGACAAAATATCCCAGTTTTGGTGGCAAAATATCCCAGTTCTGGGGCAAAATACCCATAATTCTGGGGGCAAAACAACCACAATTTTGGGGACAAAATATATAAATTTGGGGCAAAATATCCAAATTTTGGGGCAAAATATCAAAATTTTGGGGTTGAAATATCCTAATTCTGAAGGCAAAATATCCCAAATTTGGGGCAAAATATCCCCAATTTTGAGAGTCAAATATCCCAATTCTGGGGGCAAAATATCCCAATTTTGGGGGTAAAATGTCCCAATTTTGAGGGCAAAATAACCCAATTTGGGGGGCAAAATATCCCAATTTTGGGGCAAAAATTCTTCAATTCTGGGGGCAAAATGTCCCAATTTTGAGGGCAAAATAACCCAATTTGGGGGGCAAAATATCCCAATTTTGAGGCAAAAATTCTTCAATTCTGGGGGCAAAATGTCCCAATTTTGGGGCAAAATATCCTGATTTTGGGGCCAAAACATCCCCAAGACCCAAAGTGTCCCTTGGGATGGGTCAAAACTTGGCCAGAAGACCCCAGCCATGCCCAGATGTGGGTCAAGAGTCGCCCAAAGACCCAAAGCATCTCCAGGTTGGGGTCAACCGTGGTCCAGGAGGCCAAGCGTGGCCAGATCTGGGTCCACTGGTGGATCTCCAGGTTCTGGTCTCCACCAAGGACACTTGGGTGCCCCGTGAGGGTCCGGCCTCCGTCCTAAAGGTCTCAACCTCCTCACAAGGGGCTTGGGTGGCCTTCAGAGGGTCTTCTCCTCTTTACAAGGGTGCTTAGGTGGCCTCCAAAGGGTCTTGGGCACCATACAAGGGTCTCTTCCTCCATATAGGTGGGCTTGGGTGGTCTCCAAAGGTTCTTGGGCATCATACAAGGGTGCTTAGGTGTCAATCAAAGTGTCTGGTCTTCACCCAAAGGGTCTCCTCCTCCATGTAAGGGTCTTTGGGTGCCCTTCAAAGGGTCTGAGCTCCATCCATAGGGTCTCCTCCTCCATCTAAGGGTCTTTGGGTGCCCTTCGAAGGGTCTGGGCTTCACCCAAAGGTTCTCCTCCTCCATACATGGGTCTTTGGGTGCCCTTCAAGGGGTCTGGGCTCCATCCCAGGTGTCTCCTCCTCCATCTAAGGGGCTTTGGGTGCCCTTCAAAGGGTCTCCTCCTCCATGCAAGAGTGCTTAGGTGGCCTTCAAAGTCTTTGAGCTCCACCCAAAGGGTCTCAACCTCCCTGCAAGGGTGCTGAGATGGCCTTCGAAGGGTCTGCTCCTTCATCTAAGGGTGCTTAGGTGGCCTCTAGAGGGTCTCCTCCTTCATACAAGGCTCTTTGGGTGCCCTTCAAGGGGTCTGGGCTCCACCCAAAGGTTCTCCTCCTCCATAGAAGGGTCTTTGGGTGCCCTCCGAACGGTCTGAGCTCCATCCCAAGTGTCTCCTCCTCCATCTAAGGGTCTTTGGGTGCCCTTTGAAGAGTCTCCTCCTCCATGCAAGAGTGCTTAGGTGGCCTTCAAAGTGTTTGAGCTCCACCCAAAGGGTCTCAACCTCCCTGCAAGGGTGCTGAGATGGCCTTCAAAGGGTCTCCTCCTCCATCTAAGGGTGCTTAGGTGGCCTCCAGAGGGTCTCCTCCTTCATAAAAGGCTCTTTAGGTGCCCTTCAAGGGGAGTGGGCTCCACCCAAAGGTTCTCCTCCTCCATAGAAGGGTCTTTGGGTGCCCTCCGAAGGGTCTGGGCTCCATCCCAAGTGTCTCCTCCTCCATAGAAGGGTCTTTGGGTGCCCTTTGAAGGGTCTCCTCCTCCATACATGGGTCTTTGGGTGCCCTTCAAGGGGTCTGGGCTCCATCCCAGGTGTCTCCTCCTCCATCTAAGTGTGCTTAGGTGGTCTTCAAAGGGTTTGAGCTCCACCCAAAGGTTCTCCTCCTCCACCCAAGGCTCTCTGGGCACCCTCCGAAGGCTCTTGGGCACCTCGCAACGCCCCGTTCTCCACGACGCGCCCGGTCGCACCACCACCCAAGCGCGCCGAAGCATCAAGCACCACCGCCCTCCACCTCCCATGGGACAACCCGTCCACGTGAGGGCGAGGAGAAGGTTTTTCCACCAGCCACCCACCGGGTGGGCGCCACCGTGAGCACCTCGGGCGCAGAAGTAGGTGGCCGTGTCGTCGGCGCTGAGGCCGTTCATCTGCAGCGTCACCGTGCCCTGCGAGTTGTCCCTGGAGATGGTGGAGCGGCCTTTGACCGCCGACCCGTAGTAGGTGCCACCACCGCTGGTGATACCCGCGACCCACTCGGGGGCCGTCCCGGGCGCC